AAAAATGCCACTCCCCCTCCTTTTTTGCCCCCTGTTCTATCCGTCCGCGAGCATCTACACCCTGGAACATTAAGCTGTCCATCCCTGAATCATGTCTCTGTAATTGCTATGGTATCCCAGTCCCATGTTCCTAACCATACCCTGAGTTCATCTGCCTTACCTGTTAGGCCTGTTACATTGAAATACATGCAGTTTAATTTACTAGTTCTACTTTGCTCTTTCCTGCCCTGATATACTCCTTTTCCCAACTGTATCTCACCCTTGAGAAGGTGGTGATGAACACCTGAATGCCTTTCCAGGCCATTTCAGAGAGCAACCACATTGCTATGGGCCTGGAGTCACATAGAGACCAGACCAAGTAAGGATGGCAGTTTCCCTCCCTGAAGGACAGAATTGAATCAGATAGGTTTTTCCCAAGAATAGGCAATGGTTTTGTGTTTTTTTTTAAATTGCATTCAAAGTCCATCATGCTGAGATTCGAACCCAGGACCCCAGAACACTATCGAGGTCTCTGGGTTAATAGTACAGCAAGAATATAACTAGGCCATTACCTCCCCTTGATTACTGCAAGGCAGTAGGGATGACAAGAGCCAGGGTAGTGAGGTAAACCTGGGTGCTGTCGACGTGCTTGTAACAGCAAGCATCATGTTTTCACTTGATGTTGCAGCACGGAAATGAGAAATGAGACAAACTAAGAATCAATTCTTGATGAAGACAAAGGCAGTGGAGTGGGTACAGCAAGGAAAGACATTGCATGCCAATGTTGGCAGCGATTAAGAATGAAACATGGTGAACAACAGTGGAGAGGCAACAGAGGAAAATGGTATGGTCAACTATTTCCAAGATTTCAGAAGGATGAGGAGCGAGAGACTTAGCCACAGTCAGATTGGGTCTCATTTGTGGTTTTAACAAGTCCTCCACAAGCCCAAGGGAGGGGTGGAAATCCAATCTGACGGGATTTAAACCTACAATTCCAGGAAAGGTAGATTTGGGAGGTGACAGCACATTCATGGACATTAGAGAGGAACAGGCCTTTGGAGTTTGCAAGGACAGTGGGGTATTTTTGAAGTAAGAGGTGATCGCAGCAGATTTTAGGGAGAAGGGGGTGATATAGCTGAGGGGAGAGAAACACTAGCAATATCACAGAACATAATGGCCATGTCGGGTGATCTTGTGGTCAGTGATGGGAAGGGAATAGGCTCCAGGGAGCAGGAGATAGGTCTTTTGGGGTAAATGAACCTGGAAGCATCTTGAAGGAAGATAGGAGAGACACTCTGTGAAACTAGTGCTAGGGACGGAGAGAACATGAAAGGTAATTTGGTCTCCTGGGCTAATGAAAGAGGGTGAAATGGGAAAGGTAGCTGATCAGATTGTCTCAACCTTAGTGGCCAATTCACCCATGAATTCCACGTGCTTATTACTGGAGGGGAGGGTGGAGGGGACAACAGAGAGGGGCTGAAGGAGACAGTTTGTTTTAGACAAAAGACGGCAGAGGTCACTTTTGTAATCGAAGATAATCCTGGAATAGTTACAGTTTTCACACCTGAAACAAAGCCCTGCTAGGGCTTTATCCAGTGCAGCAAACGGCTGATCGAAGCTGTTCACTGTCTCTATTCAAATTTGCAAAAGAGTGGAGTTAAGCTCTGTATTTGTTTGGGGGAGTGGGTGGGGGTGGAATGGTCAGGGTGAGAGACAAAGAAGTAAACTAAGTTTGTTCCTGATCAAACTAAATGGCCTGGCCACAACAAAGCAGTTTTGTCAACATGCGTGGCTTTAGAGGGATGTGTCCAACTCTCCTCATGTAAATGATCACCTTCCAGTAAGAGTTTAATATTTGGAATGCAGCATCCGCACAGCCTAATGGATGGTTTTCGGTGAACTAATAAAGAAAACTGTAGCAAAGAAATTATTGATTGACTATATGATGAGTTCAATATATGGATTTGAAAATAAAGTCTGCCTGCTCATAGTAAGTAATTCAATTAATTAGGGAATATAACAAGGTGTGGAGCTGGATGAACACAGCAGGCCAAGCAGCATCAAAGGAGCAGGAAGGCTGACGTTTCGGGCCTAGACCCTTCTTCAGAAATAGTTAGCAACTTAGCAAAATATCGGCGAAATTTTAACTTTCCAGGATTGTGGAATAGTTTCTATTTTGAATGAATGCTATGTCATCTTGGAGTTAGGGTAATTGTGAGAGAGAGAACACTGAGCTGGGGACAGGCTAAGAGCGTTAATCATTCTGCCAGTTAAGGAGCTTGTGATGTTGAGTGCAGTAGCTGGACGAGGTGGGTTTAAGTGGAGGTTTGAAACGATTATTTCAAAAGTGAAATTGTTGGGGTTTGGGGATGTCAGCTGTATGATCTGGATAGTTGTACAACTGTGTTCAGTTCTGGTGCTATAGGAAAGAATGTGGTGAAACTTGAAAGAGTTCAGAAAGATTTAGAAGGATGTTGCCAGGGTCAGAGGGTTTGAGCTATAGGGAGAGGCTAAATAGGCTGGAATTATTTTCCTTGGAGTGTCAGAAGCTGAGGGGTGACCTTACAGAGGTTTTTCAAATTGTGAGGGACATGGATAGAGTGAATGGCCAAGGTCTTTTCCTCAGGGTAGGGAGTACCTAACTAGAAGGCATGGGTTTAAGGTGAAAGGGGGAAAACATAAAAGGGACCTAAGAGGCAACTTTTTCATGCGGAGGGTGATGTGTGTATGGAATGAACTGCCAGAGGAAGTGGTGGAGACTGGTACAATTACAGCATTTAAAAGGCATCTGGATGGGTATATGAACAGGAAGGGTTTGGAGGAATGTGGGCCAAATGCTGGCAAATGGGACTTGATTAATGTAGAATATCTGGTCGGCAACGACAGGTCAGACTGGAGAGCCAGTTTCCATGCTATACATCTCTATGACTCCGCTATCTGGTATCTGTATGTTATGTGAAACAACATTGGTGTTTCCTGATTGACGTTGCTAATATTAGGCACTCATGATGGAGGGCGCTGAATATTGATGTGCGTGTTTCGTGAGTGATTGACTGTCATTGTGGAATTAGTTTGATGTCTGTTATGGAATCATAAAATGACTCAGCACAGAAGATTCCCATTTGGCATATTATTATCTGTGCCTGTTATTTATAAAGTTATTAATCAATCCTACTCCTTTCCTTTATCCTCGTAACCGTGTAAGTATTATTTCAAGTATTTATTCAACTCACCTTTGAAAGTTACATTTTAATGGGTCCCATCACCATTTCAGATCCAAACATCTCAGAACTAAAAATAATCTGACCTTTTTTGCCAACAACTCTACACTTAGTCACTGATTCCTATACAATTGGAAACATATCTTCTTTGTTTAGTTAATTGAAATTATTCATTCATCGATCAAGCCTCCTCTTCAGCTTCGTTATTTTAAAGACAACAACTTCTCCAGTCTCTTCACGCAGTCCCTCATCCTTGATGCTGCTCTGGTAAATGTCCGTTGCATTCTGCTAAGGCTGAACCTGTGCTTCATAAATTTTAAGACAGCACTCAAAGGCAATATTTAATGCAGTTTTTATTCATACTTTAGGTTGATATTGTCGCTTTAATACACTACTCTGCCATTAAGAAGCTAATCATCTCCGGCGCCCTGTTTGTGACTTTCTCAAATAGATCTGACACTTTATTAAAGACTATTTCTTAAAAATTAATTCACAAGACTTGGGTGTCACAGGCTAAGCCAGTATTTATTGCCCGTCCCTAGTTGCCTAGAGAGCAATTAAGAGTCAACCATATTTTTGTATAATCACATGTTGACCACAGCAGTCAGGGGAAACAGTTTCGTCTCTTAAAGGACATCCATAGAATCCCCACAGTGTGGAAGCAGACCATTCGGCCCACCAAGTCCACACCAAGCCTCCGAAGAGCATCCCACCCAGACCCACAACTCACCCTGTAATTCCCATGGCTAACCCACCCAGCCTGCGCATCCCTGGACACCAGCAGGGCCGATCCACCTAACCTGCATGTCTTTGGACTGTGGGAGGAAACTGGAGCACCCGGAGGAATCCCACATAGACACGGGCAGAATATACAAACTCCACACTGTCTCCCGAGAATGGAATTGAACCTGGGTCCTTGGTGCTGTGAGGCACCACTGAGCTACCACACCACCCCTAAGTAAAGCAAAAGAGGTTTTTCCAAGAATTGATAACAATTTTTGCAATCACTATTAGATTCTAATTTCGGATTTTTATTGAATTCAACTTCGACGTCCCTCTCCCCAAGGTCCTGGTGCCCTGTTTACAATTACACCATTTGGTTCAAGTGACCTTTCCCCTCTAATCAAGAGAAACAGGTCGCTTTGCCAGCTTTAAACTTCACTCATCACACGTCTGCCCATTTCATCACAGTTATCCTGCTGAAATCTCTTGCTGTCCTGCTCACTGCTAACTACCTTTGTGTTTCAGGGCCTCAAGATACCTTGCATTTGAGCATATCAGTTGCTTCTCAGAATTTCCATGTTCTAGTTGCAAGCAAGTACTGAGAGGAGCGATCAACGCAAACACACAGCTTACGTTGTTAGCTGGCTCGCTCACTCACTGAGCGACTTGAATCATTCAAACTCACTCTGGAAATTCTCCAGATCAGTCAGACTGCCCTGCGGAATATGGGGCAAAGATGTCCCTTTTGGAACAAACAGTCAAAGGACTATCCCCAAAAATATGGAGGTCACCTGCAGCCAAGTATGCAAAAAAGTCAGAAAAGGGAAAATCAAGTAAATTAATTTACCGCTCCACTCGATGGTCCTCATTCCATGTCGGTCCAAGATGACGGCCGAGTACATTGGCGATTCGGCTCGGAATCCTTCTTCAGAGACCCTTCTTCATTTTCTGAAGAAGGGTCCTGACCCGAAACGTCAGCTTTCCTGCTCCTCTGATGCTGCCTGGCCTGCTGTGTTCCTCCAACTCCACACTGTGTTATCTCTGACTCCAGCATCAGCAGTTCTTGTTATCTCTGGCAGCAGAGTAGGGCTCTTGTACTGGAGCTCTGAATGCATTTCTTTCTCGATTTCTTTTTTTATCCTCTCACTACTTCCCACGTCCTGAGCTTGGACAGTGTCGGCAGCGGTGAGAGCCCAGGGCTCAGACCTCGAGCAGGCTGAGCGGCGAGGAGAATGGGCCCCTACTTACATTACCGGGGCAAGCGCGGGACCTGGAATCAGTGGCTACTACATCGGCAGAGGCGGCATGTGTGAGGTAGGCCCAGCGGCCCAGGACGGCACCTGAGGATCAGTGGGTTGGGTCCGGCACTGGCAGCGGCTAATCGGGGGGGGTGGAAGGGCACCACGGCAACCATCGATGAGGTGGGTCTGGTGGAGAGAGATGGGACTCTGACGTTGGTTGATCTGGAAGTGACAAGGCCATGACAGAGCAGTATCAGCCCAGCAACAAAAATGGCGCCCGAGGACCAGTGACTTCAATGTTGGTTGGGTCCAGTGTAGGTAGCGTGGCAAAGAGGTGGCACAGGGATGGCACTGTAGGCATTGTTGATGGCAATGCACTGGCTCAGGTCTGATGGACTCTCATCAAACTCTTTTATTCTTATTCTTAAATTATTCAAAACGGTGCCATATCATGGCAGCAAATGAAAGTTTTTCACTGTGTTCTATTGCATTCTCGCCATAAGATACAAGTGACAATAAAATCAAAATCAATTCAAAATCAAATCATTTAAAAACTACTAATAATTGAAAATAAATTACCAATGAGACTGCGTGCACCGAGACCTGGTGAAACATAATTAGATTGCACTTTAAGTTTCAAATTTTATTGCAATATTAAAACAGGAAACCTGAAGCAAAAGCCAAGTAAACAATTCAGAAGCCAAAAACTAAATATAGCTCAAGTGCAAAAATGTCACACTGCAGCAGTTAATCGAAATAATGAACTTAACATTATATTCACATGTTGCATCATTCGTGCCCTTATCGAGTCCCTTGGCCGACCAATCAGCACTCTCTCCCATACAGTACAAATATTGTTTTTCCTTTACTTCGGTATTTCTTGCAAATTGTCCTGATGAGTGCGAAATGACAACGCTCAACAAAATATGGGATTTTTTTCTTTTAGTGATACTGAAATTCTATACTATCAAATGATGAGAGAAAATAAAATGGTTAAAATAGGTCTCTTTGGGCCTGTTGTAGCCTTGGATTTTTTTCCTCATTGCAGGGCTGCCAAGTAAAAATTGCAATCAGGTTCTAAAGGCCAGACCTGGGCCCTTCCAGCTTGCTGACCTATTGATCCACTGCACGTTCAGAGCCAGTAACCAGCCTCAGAGATTTTAACCCATCCATCCAACTACCTCATTCCATCCACATGAAATCAGCCAATTATGTCTAGGTCTAACCATGCTTTGGATATTATATTTTCCTGCATTTATTACTTCACAAATCACTTTTTTTTTTAAAAAATGCAAGTTAGAGACAGAAAATGAGAAAAAAATTGCAAAAAAAATATGTTGATTGGTTTAAATCTTGATTTGTTTTATGAGTGAAACTGTTTCCCGAAGATTTCCATTGGGTTATGTTTTATTCCCATTCCTCTTTCGAAATCCCATACTCCCTGTAAACAATTCCCTGACACTAGTCTAAAAGTAAAGGCAACGACAGAATGAAATAATTAAGCACCTACAGATCTTGAGAGAGAAGATCGAGAAAGAGAAACAGAAAGGAGTAGAGGCAGCATGAGATGGCAAAATCTCTACACAGAAAGAGAGAGAGACAAAAAGATAGAGGGAAAGACAGAAAGACAGAGAGCAATTGGAACTGGGCTATCATTGCCATGTGAATAGTTTGATGACATTTGTAATTGAAAATAGAAAAAAATATTTTCACTGTAGAAGAGTTGTGAAATTTCTTTTTTAAGAATACAGGAGTGACAATAATTAGTTTATAACATTTCAGAATTGATACATCTTTTTAATTTTAGTAACAAATGAAGTTAGTACTTTCAGTGTCATAATTGCCACTGAGTTTGAGCATAATTTTTAAAGCAGCTATGTTTCATAGAACCCCTACAGTGTAGGGGCAGACCATTCCACCCATAAAGTCCACACTGACCCTCTGAAGAGCCTTCCACTCAGACCCACCCTCTCCTTGTGACCCTGCATCTCCTATGGCTAATCCACTTAACTGACACATCCCTGGCCATTATGAGCAACTAAGCATGGCCAATCCACTTAACCTGCACATCTTTGGACTGGGAAGGAAGCCCATACAGATGCAGGGAGAATGTCTGTGTGGAGGTTTTGGACAGTCATCTGAAGCTGGAATTGAACCTGGATCCTTGGCTCTGAGAGGCAGCAGCACTAACCACAGAGCCACCATGATACCCTAGCTTTGGTGAAACAAACTAAAATAAATAAGAAGTAGAAATGTTCATTTGATGGCATATCAAACATGAAGAAAGGCATGAGGCACTTAAAGAAAACTTTCATTAACGTCACACCTTTTACAATTAGTGTTTTTTTTCACTCATCCATGGGATGTGGGTGTCGCTAGCTGGGCCAGCATTTATTGCCCGCCCCTAGTTGCCCTTGAAAAGATGGTGGTGAGCTGCCTTCTTGAACCACTGCAGTCTACATGCTGTAGGCAGACCCACAAGGCTGTTAGTGAGAGAGTTCCAGGAGTTTCACCTAGCAACACTGAAGGAATGGTGAAATATTTCCGAGTCAGGATGGAGCAGAACTTGCGGGTGGTGGTGTTCCCATGTATCTGCTGCCTTCTTGCTTCTAGATGGAAGAAATACCGAGTTTGGAAGATGCTGCTTTGGTGAATTTCTGCAGTGCTGTAGATGGTACACACTGCTGCCATGGGTGTAATTGTGGTGGAATGAGTGAATATGGTGCCAATCAAGCAGGCTGTTTTGTCATGGATGGTGTGAGCTTATTGGTTAATGTTGGAGCTGCACTCATCCAAACAAGTGGAGTGTATTCCATCACACTCTTAATGTTACTTTGTAGATGGTTGACTGGCACTGGGGAGTCAGAAAGTGAGATACGCTCTGCAATTTCCTAGCCCCTCTGACTAGTTCTTGTAGCCACAGTGCATATATGGCTAGTCCGGTTCAGTTTCTTGTCAGAATGTTAGCAATAGGGAATTCAGTGATAATACAATTCTGACCACCATGTTGCAGGAGGGATGTTATTAAACTGGGAAGGGTGCAAAAAAGATTTACAAGGATGTTAACCGAGACTGGAAGGTTTGTGTTGTAAGGAGAGAATGGACAGGCTAGGACTTTGTTCCCTGGATCATAGGAGGTTGAGCAGTGCCCTTATCGAGGTTTATAAAATCATGAGAGGTAATGATAAGGTGAATAGCAAAGGTCTTTAATCTTGGGCAGGGGAGTCTAAAACTAGAGGGCGTAGAGGTTAAAGGTGAAAGAGGAAAGATTTAAAAGGGAAAACCAAAAGAACTCAGATGCTGTAAATCAGGAACAAGAACAAAGTTGCTGGAAAAGCTCAGCAGGTCTGGCAGCATCCGTGGAGGAAAAAACAGAGTTAACGTTTCGAGTCCGATGACCCTTCCTCAGGTTTCACAGATGTTGCCAGACCTGCTGAGCTTTTCCAGCAAAATTTAAAAGGGACCTGAGGAACAAGTTTTTTCACACAGAGATAGTGCATATATAGAGCGAGCTGCCAGTGGAAGTGGTAGAGGCTGGTGTAATTACAACATTAAAAAGAATTTGGAGAGGTACATGGATAGGAAAGGTTTAGAGGGATATGAGCCAAACACAGATGAATGGGACTAGTTCAGTTAAGGAAACCTGGTCGAGTTGTCCCCAAAGGCTTGTTTCTGTGCTGTATACCTCTATTAGTTACTGGAAGATTGTGACCAGCGGTGTGCTGCAAGGGCCAGGACTGGGCCCACTGCTTTTCATCATTTATATAACTGATTTAGATGTGAACATAGGAGGTATGGTTAGTAAGTTTGCAGATGACAACAAAATTGGAGGTGTAATGGACAGCAAAGAAGGTTACCTCTGGGTACAATGGGACTGTGATCAGATGGGGCAATGGGCCGAGGAATGGCAGATGGAGTTTAATTTAGATAAATGTGAGGTGCTGCATTTTGGAAAGGCAAATCAGGGCAGGACTTATACACTTAATGGTAAGGTCCTGGGGAGTGTTGCTGAACAAAGACACCTTGGAGTGTAGGTTCATAGTTCTTTGAAAGTGGAGTCTCAGGTAGATAGGATAGTGAAGAAGGCATTTGGTATGCTTGTTTTTATTGGTCAGTGCATTGAGTATAGGAGTTGGGAGGTCATGTTGCAGTTGTACAGGACATTAGTTAGGCCACTTTTGGAATACGGCATTCAATTCTGATCTCCCTGCTGTCGGAAGGATATTGCAAAACTTGACAGGGTTCAGAAAAGATTTACGAGCATGTTGCCAGGGTGGAGGGTTTGAGCCATAGAAAGAAGTTGAACACACTGAGGCTATTTCCACTGGACCATTGGGGGCTGAGGAGTAACCTTATGGAGGTTTACCAAATCATGAGGGGCATGGATAGGGTGAATAACCAAAGTCTTTTCCCCGGGGTGGGAGAGTCCAAAACTAGAGGGAATATTTTTAAGGTGAGAGGGGAAAGATTTAAAAGGGACCTAAGGGGCAATTTGGTCACACAGAGGGTGATGTGTGTGTGTGTAGAACGAGCTGCCAGACAAAGTGGTGGAGGCTGGTACAATTAAAACATTTAAAACGAAGAATTTAGAGTAATATGGGCCAAATGCTGGCAAATGGGACTAGATTAATGCAGGATATCTGGTCAGCATGGATGAGTTGGACTGAAGGATCTGTTTCCATGCTGTGCAGCTTTATGACTCGATGACTCTAATACCATTGAACATCAAGGAGAGATGGGTTAATTGTCTCTTGTTGGAAATGGTCATTGTCACTTTTTTTGGTGTAAGTCCTACTTAATACAGCAGAGCCCCCACCTCACACAGGCACTGCACCTTTAGGACAGTTACCTAACATTGTGATATGTAATATTCTAGCAATTCAGTCACTGTCTCTGTGTTAACGAGTCAGTGAATTGTCTTCAGTCAGCTATGTGTATGTCATGTATAGTCACATCAGTAAGCACAGAATCCAGATTCTACGTGTAAATCTGTGAGATTGTAACTTTGTAAATAGTTAGTGTGGTATTCCTAATAAATTCTAACTAAATGATTCTTTGAGACATGTGTTACTAGGGTTAATGTATAGAAAACCATAAACATCACTCAGGACATCCCAAAGAGCTTTACAATCAATGAAGTGTTTTTACAAATAATAGTCCCTGGTGTAGTGTGAGATAAGACATCCAACTTGCATGCAGCAATTTGATAACGACCGAGTTATCTGTTTGTATGATACTGATTGAGGAATTAATATTTGTCAAAACAGTGGGTGTAACTCCTCCTTTTAGTGTCATGGGATTTTTAACATCCACCTGAGGGAGCAAACAGGAAAGCATTCTGAGGAAGGGTCACGCGACCTGAAACATTAACTCTGATTTCTCTCTGCAATTGCTGCCAGACCTACTGAGCTTTTCCAGTCATTTCTGTTTTTGACTCTGGTTTACAGCGTCTGCAATTCTCTCAAGTTTGTTTTGTTTCAAAACAGGAAAAATGTTTATTTTCTCAGCTGAAAGTACAACATTCCCTTTGTACTGCACTGGAGTTCTAGCATGTACCCTTATGTTAACATGAATTTGAAGCCCAGGGCTTGAATGCAACAATCTATGGTTTTTTATGAGGGGGTACTTTACCCTATGTTTTGTTGCACTGAAATTCTAAATGCGTCCTTTTTTTTAGATTTTATACAGATATTTGGCAGCCCATACAGTCCACATTAAAATGGCTTGATGCATTGAGGTTTGTCACTGCTGATTTCTCAATGAGCAACCGAAAGGTCACGACTGGATCTGGCCTCTCCATTCACAAAGTTTGCATGTTGCAAACTTTTGCATCCATAATGCCTCCACTTCCTACTCCTCACCTCACTCAGAGCGAGGTAAAATATTCCGGAGAAAGAGTTTGAGTAATGACGCTGCATTTGAGAACATCGCCCTGGTCGCTAATGAATTTGCTGATGGGAGCTCAAGAGATACAAGAAAATCGTTAGTGTGTCAACCCTAATTTGTATGAATTGCCAGTTACAAGAGAAACTGATCACTATTTCCATGTTCAAGGGAACATGTATTTTTTTTTCAGATTGTCAGCATTTGAAGGAACCAGCGAGTGTGGCTTTAGGTGCCTAATTAGAAGATACTGAAAGCTTGGCTGTTGCAGAGGATTTCAAACTGACAACAGGTAGATTTGTAATGGGATCACAGTGAATTAATATAGACAGACAACCCGTTTGTAGCAATTTTACAATAGTTTATTGAGTTTGTTAAGAAGCAGCAGTTAGATATGATACATTAGATAATTAGTCAAGGTACATATTCAACGATGACAGATGAGAATGTCTCACCAATCCCAAAATCATTCTGAGATAACAAGGTGTAGAGCTGGATGACCACAGCAGGCCAAGCAGCATCAGAGGAGCAGGAAGGC